CAACAACATGGATGGACCTAGAGGGTATTGTGCTGAGTGGAGTAAGTCAGACAGAAAAAGACAAATATCATATGATTTCACTTACATGTGGAATCTAAACAACAAAGTAAATGAACAAAACAGAAACAAATTCATAGATACAGAGAATATTTTGATGATTGCCAGATGGGAGGGTGGTTGGAGGGTGGGGGGAAAAGGGGAAGGGATTAAGAAGTACAAATTGGCAGTTACAACATAGTCACAGGGATGTGAAGTCCAGCATAGGGCATATAGTCAGTAGTATTGTAATAAACTATGTATGATGTCAGGTGGGTACTAGATTTATTGGGGTGATCACTTTATAAGTTATATGAATGTCTAATCACTATGTTGTACACCTGAAACTAATATAACATTGTTACATCAGCTATAATCGAAAAAAAATTTTTTAATTATTTTTTTTAAATAATATTTTTTCAGCATTGTAGTGGATGCTATGGTAATGCCACCCAGATGGCTGTGTTCGGAATAAAATCACTGTCATCATTTCCCCAGCTTTTGGGAATATTGGCAGCAGCTGACAGCTGTCAGCTGAGTCATTCTCTGGGAACTGTCCTCACCCTGTGAAAGCAGCCTTGCCCAAGGTCCAGCCACACTGCAGGGTCACCCTATATCCAATGATTAATGATGAGCAATAGAAGCCCACTTCCCTTGCCTCAACACAGAAGGATTCTAAAGGGGCCATCCCAGCTTTAGTTACCAAAAGTGTCTACCGGGTTTTATTTGGTATTTGTTGTGACTGTTAGGCATTTCAACTCTCTCTCTGCCCAATCCTTCTTCCGTCATTCCCACACAAGTATTGCTCATGAGAATATCCCCGTACACAAACCCGTCTCGTGTAGATAGACATTTCCTGGTGGATCCCATCTAAGACAAGTAAGTGACACAGGCACTGTCAGCTGCTTTTAAAGGCAGTGAGGGAGGTAAAGAAACAAAGGAGTCATTTCAATATAGGGTGGCAAGTCCACAACAGAGCGATATATCCTGGGGGAAAACTGGGATGGGGGTGTAAATTCTAGTCACAGAAAATAGTGCACCCCCTGATATTTTTAGTTATAAAATGTAGATATCTTTGCTCATCGCATTACCATTCCTATGGTAATCCATTTGGGAGAGTAATGTTATGCAAATACTGAAGGGGCAATGCGGAAGACCTAGCTCAAAGGATCAAGGCATGACATTTACATCATTTCAGGAAACTGAGGATTTTTTTTCTGCCTATTATTTCCTTAAAATATTTTTCTACTGGTTTAGGACAGCCTCACTCCTAAATTTCACTATGTTTTATCAGATAATTCACAGCAGGTAACCCATAAGTGCTTTTTGTATTGACTGATTTATGAACCTGGAATTAGGCTATTTCTGGGATGGCAATAAACAATGATTTTGCAGAAATAATCTAAATTTGTAATCATTGTAGACAGAAAAGGGGCCACACGTTATACCTGGTAAGCTCAGGAGACTGAAAATAACCACAGGATGGTGTGTGAACATAAAAATTCTTAACTAAGGTGGGCCATGGCAGGAAGTCACATCTCCAGGAGCTTCCTCATTAAATTAATCTGTGCCTTTTCAAGTGGGCCTGTTCTTTGTCTTTTTGTACCTAAGATAACATCTTTAATTCTTTTTCTGGACCAGAGCTGGAAACTGCAAAATTCCTCATTATCATGCTTGTCTCCTGATTACCATCTCCATGTGCTGTAAAGAGTGAGCTGTTACCTATCCTGCACCCACCACCTATGTCAAAGAAGTACCTGTCTCTCCAATTTACTTTTATCCAATCCCAAAGATTTCCCCACTTTGCTTTTCCCACCCCCTTCATCTATCACCAATGGATTTCATGTAACCTTTCTCCTTTGATTTTATGTATAAAATAAACTGCAAACTGCCATTTTGCGGAGCATTTTCTCAATTCGTTGAGATTTTGCTTCCCCGCAGTTGTCGACAGTTTGGCTCAAATAAACTCTTACAAGTTTTCTCTTAGGCTGGCTATTTTTCATCAACATCATGTATACAGAGTTCATCTGTGTTCTCAGACTGTGGTGACTAGATTAATTAGGATTCCAGCATGTTCCCAAAGTGTGTGGGGATGGGGGATGGGGAACCGGGGTACAGTGTCATGGCTGAGGGTTTCCTCAACTATAAGGACTAAGTGATGTTTAAACCCATCCTCAAATGGCCTCAAATGGCTAAAATTACTTTTAGGCTGGTTTCTCCCAATCTCTGGAAGGCATATTTTACTGATCTGTTTTAGGTGCTCAATAAATCCCTAGGTTCTGTTGGTTGTTTGATAGCTGTTCATTAAAATCCCCACCTCCTCCCTAATAGATGAAAATGCTGATTAGATCGATGATAGATAGATGATAGATAGATAGATAGATAGATAGATAGATAGATAGATAGATAGATAAAATAAAAGCTGAAGTTGATCATTAAAACCCCTGGGGAAGACCAAACAGCCCCGGGGTCCACCCATATGAAGGGTTTCTCCAGCCAGGAACTTCCTACAAGAAAGAGGAGGAGAGAAGGTTATCAGAGGCAGAAATCCTGTCATTCAGCAAAGACAAGAGAGATAGTGTCTACCACTGGCATTAAGGTTGCACTTTATCAGCCCTTAGAGAATCTCAAAGGTCCCTGGGGCACTTTGTTTTGATGGAGGAATTTTCTTAGCTTCTGGGTTTCCCCAAGAGTCTCTGTCAAGTTTCCCTCGCTGTATAGTTGCCACAGCTGTCTCGCTGTCCACATGAAGTGAATTTTGTGGATCATCAGCGGTGTGATGCTATGTGCATTAGCTGAAATATAAGTAACTGGAATTTTTTCTACCCTTCACTTCCGGGTGGAGAGAAATTTGCTCCCCCGCTCTGCAATAAACAATAGCAACATAATTTCCAGTGTCCTGGAATGAGTAAACACTCAACCCAAGCTGGTTTAATTTCTGTGATCAATCTCTAAAATAGTTTTACTACAAATTGACCCTATTTGGGAAGTTGCAGCATGGTGCATTAGAGGAGCATATCTGACCTTGAATCCCTGGTCTATCATTTACTATCAATCTGACCTTGAGCAAGTCACTTGGGTGCCTGAGCCTCAGGTGCTTCATCAATAAGGCAGAGATTTTAATGTCAGTGTCACTGCATTTCTCATGATGAGCAAATGAACTGTTTGCAAAACATAGGATTCGTGTGCTTAGCACATGACAGCCATTCTTGTTATTATAGTTTTACTCTTTCAAATACTCACTAAAAAAAAATCCAGACATTAAAGAAAAAAAAAAGGTTCATTTAATTTCTTGATGCCTAAGTGTTGTTATACATAAAACAGTACTATTGGACTAGTTGAATTCCACAATTGTTTCCAGCTCGGGCTCTCTATGATTCAATAATAACTAGCATATGAATGAAGCAGATAGAGAAACTATTATTTTATACAGAACTTTAACAAACATTTTGATAGAAAATTAGGTGAATAAGAACACCACATTTCCCAGCATTTCGACCAAGAATTGTTCTTTAGGTGTTTGAGATTAAGAAGAATAACAAGAAAATTAAAGATGTTAACATGTTAAATTCCATTCCCTTTACCACAAATGTCATTATACCCCTCATCTGAAAAAAAAAAGGGGATGGGGATGATAATGTAATTAATTCTTTGTGTTGTTGCGAGGATTTAACTTTTAAATAAATGTAAATCATAAGCATAAATTCCTAGCATGTAAGAACGAAGTCAAGAGCAGCCGTTAGTATTAACTGTTATAACAAAGGCATTGCCAAGCACGCCCTGATCTTTGCATGAATGGCTCTTTTAGTCACTGATTCATTCAATCCATCAATATCTGTTGAACACACATTGTTTACCTGGCACTGGTCTAGTCACTGGGAACAGGGCAATGGTGGAGACAAAAACCTTGCTGTCCTTGCATTCTCAGCTCCACTCTCATCGCCGCCCAGAGCCCTTGTCAGAGCACTCAGTCTGGGTCACATCTCCTCATCCAGCACCACCACACTGTCACCCTTGCGGTCACTCTGCTTTATTTGATTCAAAAAATACTCATCACTGCCCCAAACTATCTTGTTCATATATTTCCTGCTTACCATCCACTCACTCCAGCCCAACCCCCACAGAACATACGTTCTATAAAGGCAGGGGACACGTCCTCTCATTTATCACCATGTTTCCTGAACAGGAATGGCTGAAATTCATTAGGTGCTTGCTCATTCAACTGAACTTTAATGGTGAAATTCCAGAGAAGAAAGTCATTTGAGCAACTCATTTGCTTTCCTTTGTTGGTTATGTTGATGTGTGGAATTTATGAAGAAACGCTAAAAGAGTGGAGATCATTAAATTTACAGAAGAGAAATAAAATTTAATCGTGGCCTTTAATAATCCAGAAGGTTCTGGTTCTGTGAGACCTATGTGCAAGTCACAGCCTCTCCAACCATGTCCTTGTCTGTCAACTGGGACACATGATGTCTGCTCTGATATCCCATTCTAGGGCTGTCATAGAGCTAGCATTAGGGCGCTGTTCTTTTCTGGGGGGAGAAGGGGGACAGTGGGCCACAGCGTGTTTTTCCAGGACCCATCAGCTCCAAGTCAAGTAGTTCCAATCTAGTTGTGGAGGGCGCAGCTCAGTGGTCCATGTGGGGATCGAACCGGCAACCTTGGTGTTGTGAGCACCACCCCCTAACCAACTGAGCTAACCAGCTGCCCCAGGGCCCTATTCTTTACCCCACGCTCGAACATGCATTTGTCCCGCAGCGTCTTACAACAGACCCTTCGAAGTACAGGAGGGCAGGGGCTATTTTCATTCTGTTTTGCAGAAGAGGATATTGATATGTAGAGAGTGACTCTGGGAAGGAAAGAAGCAATGAAAAGAGAGAAAGGGGGCAGAAGAAAAAGAAGGGTCATGTAGCAGAGTTGCAAGCTACTGTTGTTTATCACACACTCACTTTTGTCATCTCCTGTGGTCCTCTCAGCCATTGTCATCCCATTTTATAGAATAGGAAACTGAAGTTCCGAGAGTATAAGGTTATCCTCAGGTAGCCTACTGGTAGATAGAGACGGGCTGTGAGGCCACGTCCTCCAAGTTCAGACCCCACGCTATTCATTTTTACCATGTTGCTTCCAAGAAATGATCAAGGGCAAGAAATTTAGAAAAAGGGAAACATGCTACAAAAACACAATTAAAATCACTTAATCATTGTTAAAAAAAAAAGAATTATCAACTTTTCTATTTTCCAAGATTTGACTGAACTCTGGGGGGAAATGTAGATGGAGTAACATGAGGGTTAGCTATGAGGAAGAATTTAGTAATAGATCCAGTGTTTTCCCACTAATGAGGTTATGAGAGATACCTTTGGACTATGATTTCAAGATGTAATTCAGCCCTGACATCAAACTGTCCATCCTTCCAGAAGATTTTTAATGAGGGTCTGTGAAGACAAGGCATAGATGTTAAAGTTTCTCATTGTGATCATTATAAAATGGAACTATCTTTTTAAATTATAAAAGGCTATGGTTTTGCATAGTTTTTAAAATTCAGAAGTGAGTCATACAGAAAGTACCCCACAAACTCCTCTCATAAGCCCCTTCCCCAGAGACAATCATTGTTAACAATTTGATATAGTACTTTCTACACTGTATTTGTGCATATATAAACTTTATCTACCTGTGATCATTTCCTACATACTGTTCTCTCATCATTATTTTCACTCCATATGATAGACAATGTTCCAGGTCAATAAGAAAGTCCTACTGCCTTTTTTTTTTTTAGTAGTCCCATAGTGGATATATAACAATTATTATTTTCTTTTACTTTGTTTAAGAATTTAATACAGTAATCTTTTTGGAAGAAAAGTATATGGCTCCACCAATTTCTTCTCATGCTCCTGTCCAGTTTCAACTGTCCACAGTTTTGGTCATCCCTACCAAATACCCTACCATAGAGGTTTGAAACCACTCATTTCTTTCTTTCCCAGAAGCTTTGGTCCACTAATTCAGTGTATGTGACAAATATTGATATGAAATAAGTATTCATTTCTAGAACAAAAAAAGCCTCCAGGTAAAGGTCACACAGAATTTCACATACATTCACACAGAATTTGTGAAAAATAAATTTTTTTATTGCATGAGATTCAAAATCAATATCTTAAGGCCAGAGAGGTGACCACAATCTCACATGTGGCAGTACTTACCAATTCTTACAAACCAACTAAAGGAGTTTGGATTTTATCCTCAAGGCAATGGGAATTGGCGGGATATGGATGCATTTCTTAACTCGGGGTAGCGTGATCAGATAAATAATACAGGAAGATCTCAGTGGCTGAAGATAATGGTTTAGAATGGGGAAAAACCACGGGCAAGGAGGCCCAGTTGCTCATGAATGAAAAGTCCTTATTAGGGTATTAAGTGTTATACCTTATTAATACTGTACCTTTAATTTTTTAAGGTATTACATTATTAAGGTATTACATATAGTTGGGACAAATTGATTCTGGGCATTGATGTAATCACTGCTGACAGAAGTATAAATGCAAACTCTAGCTTTTTCATTAACAATGTCCCTTGCCCTCAATAAATTGCCACAGACACAACCTTCACTTCCAAGATGGCTTAATTACATGGCTGTTGATTGGAGGCCTCAGCTCCTTACTCTCTAGAGGGTTACTTGAATGTGTTCATGACATGGAGGCTAGCTTTCCCCAGAGCAAGCAATGCAAGAGAGAGGGCAAGGAGGAAGCTATGTGCCTTACAACCTAGCCACAAAAGTCACACAGTATCGTGTCCACCATATTCATTTCATTAGAAGTGAGTCACTTAGCTCATGCTATACTCAAGGGGGAAAAAATTGTCATCTCTTGAAGAGAGGGCTGTCAAAGAATTTTTGGACAAATTTTAAACTACCACTGGAGTCTAGTTTCAAATGTAGATTGATGCACGTGAGAGTCAGAGGCTGAGAGGAGCGTGAGACAAACTTCTCCAGGAATGCACAAAAGCTGAAGAAAGTTCTTCAGACTTTCATAGGCCATTGAGTTGGGAGGGTTCAAGTTAGTTTATCTAGACACCTGAGAGGCAGGAAGGCCAGTGGTATATATTTTTGTTACACTCTTAACCTCCACATGTTATCAAATGTGATATGGAGAGCATATGATCTAATTCTTTCCTGTTAGTCCTCATAGATTATGAGAACATAAGTACTTCATTATGTCCATGTATCCCAATTTTTAATTCCAACCAAGAAAATCTGGTACCTACATTAGCATTTGCGGAGGAGTGAGGTTCTGTGCCCTCCAGGCAGGATTAAACATATTTAATTTGGAGAAGGTGAACCTTAAAAATAGCCATCAAGCACCTGGATCCATTTTTTTGTTCAGGCTTCAGTGAAAGGTAGGTTTTGCTCATGTGTGTGTGTTTGCTTGATATTAGACTGAGAAATTACATTATCTAACCAGTTGGACAGTGTAGGGTACAGGCAGGAATAAATTTTACTTCTTATCACCACTGCCCCCCCCTTTAACCCTCTATAATTAATTCATTTATCCTCCCCTTGATGAAATCTCAAGCAGATCTCATAGCTTTCCCAATCAACTTCAGATAATAAAATGTTACTATATTCCATCTACTCTAAAATGACCCTGTGCTTCCATTTTAACATCTCATCTTAGAATCTCAGTGTCCTCTTATAATCATAATTGGAAAGTGTTGTTGTTGTTTTTTCCTTTCATTGTGGTATACAAAATAATAGAGCATCTTCTAGTCAATAGCATCTTAGACCCAATGAAATTTAGTAATCTCTTTCTTCAGGTATCAAAAAATTGAGTCAAGTATAGTCATCAAAACTCTATTTTCATCAAATTTAAAACTTCTCCCTTCCCTGAGCTTTGGCCTACTTCAGGCCTGAAAGTCTATAGTAGAAAAAGAAAAAATAGAGGTGATTAGATTTATCTCTATCCCTTATTCCTTCTTCTAGTTCACTCCCAAGCTGATGATTTGGGACCTTTCAAGGACTGGAGTGAAATGAGTAGAAATAAGTAAGGATAAATAGTACTATTTCACAGTATAGTTATATTTTCGTGTCAGTGTTTTCTCTATGAGGGATATTCTAAATGTCAATTCTCACTTTCTTAGAGTGGTTTTGTGGCTTGTTTAGACACAACTTTCATCACTGGCAATCTCTCGCCTCCAGTTCCTTTGACGTACGTGATGCCTCCTCCAGCTGACCACTTGCAACTTCCCCTTTAGCTACTGGTTTCTTACGGCCCACTCCACTATTGGGTTTTGTCCTCTCGTGTGGAGTCCCCTTCAGAACAACCCAATATGGTTCCCTCCTGGGTTCATGGGAAATTCGAGCATCCTTTGGCACTCCAGAGGCTAGAAGTTGTGGTGGATTCCAACAGAGACACTTGCCCTCACTCTGCCCAAAGTAACCGAGCTCAGGCCACCAGCTGTCACATTAGGAACAAGCCACGTAGAGGGCATGATGAAGGAGGAGGGTACGTTTACTGGTAATAAATAGGCCTAGGCCCATGAGGTTTCTCAGCACTATTGGCATTTTGAGCCAGAACATTCTTGGCTGTGAGGAGCTCTCCTATGCACCATAACATTTGTTGCAGCACCCCTAGTATATATTCACTAGATGCCAGTAGGTTCCCCTCCTCCAGTTATGACAAGCAAAAATGTCTCCAGATATTGTCAAATGTCCCTCTGGGCAAGGTGGGTGGGTGGCCTCAAAATCACGCCTAGTTGAAAATCACTGATCTAAGGTGATTTTAGATGGGAGTGGGTCTCAGGCAGTGATTCTCAAATGTATGCGATGCAGCTGAAGCAATAGTTAGAACAAAACATAGCTTTCAATGCACAGAAAAGAGGAAAGATAGAAGATCGATGATAATCTAAGTACCTATCTCAAAAAGCTAGAAAAACAAAGGCATATCAAACCCAAATCAAACATAAGAAAAAAATAGTAATGATAAAAGCAAAGATCAGCAAAATGTGAATAAGCATATAATAGAGAACAATCAACAAAGCCAAAACCTATCCTTTGAAAAAATTAAGAAAATGTATATATCCCTAGCAAGAATAATCAAGAAAAAAAAGCACACAATATTAATATCAAGCATGAGAAAAGGCACAGCACTACAAACCCTACAAACCTTACCATCATGAGAAGATGTTAGGAACAACCTTATATCAATGAATTTGAAAATTTGGATGAAATAGACAAGTCTTAGAAAATAAAAAATATTAAAACGGAAACAAAATAAAGTAGAAAATTCAAACAGTAATATATATATATATATATATATATATATATGTATGTATATATATATATATATATATGTAAAGAAATCGAATCTATAATTTAAAACCTCCCCACAAAGAAGTCTTCAGGCCTACATTCCCACACAGTGACCTCTTCCAAGCATTTAAGGAAAAAATAATACTAATATACTCAAACTTTTCCAGAGAATAGGAAAACATAAAAACACTTTTTAACTGGTTTTATAAAGCCAGCATAATCTTATTATCAAGAACATAAGGATATTAGAAAGGGATGAGGGAGAAGTTATAATCTTTTTATGAATACTAATTCAAAAATTCTAAACAAAATATGACCAAATTGAATCAAGAGGCATATAAAAAATAATGCATTATCAAAAAGTTAGATTTATTCCAGGAATGCAATGTTTAATATTCAAAAAATAGCATGATAACATCAATAAATCCATTAAAAAATGTAATGAAATTCAACTTATTCACAATCATCTAAAATTTAGAAAAACTGGGGCGGCCAGTTAGCTCAGGTGGTTAGAGCGCAGGCTCATAACACCAAGGTTGCTGGTTCGATCCCCACATGGGCTAAGAAGCTGCGCCCTCCACAACTAGATTGGTACAACTACTTGACTTGGAGCTGATGAGTCCTAGAAAAACACACTGTTTCCCGATAGAAATTTCTTTTTAAAAAATTTTTGTTAATTATATAATAATTTAGAAAAACTAGAGCAAATAGAACTTTCTCAATCTGATTAAAATATTTACAAAAATCCTACAGCTAACATAACACTTGATGGGAAAATGCTGAAAGTTTTACCCCTGAGATTGGAAATGAGGCAAAGATACCTGTTCAGCATTTTAATTCAACATGGTACTGGAAGTACTAGCCAATGCAATAAAACAATAAAAAGAAGTAAAGGTATTTTTAAAACTGCCATTATCGTAAATTAGGTATAGGAAAAAAATCAAAAAAAGGCTAGATGCTCAATTAGAATTCCTAATGAATTTAGGTCAGTATACAAAAAAAAAAAAAGCAATTGTATTTCTATAAATGAGTAACAATTAAAAAAATTGTTAAAAAGTACCATTGGGAGGTACTTGCAGCTATGATACCATGAAGAAGACAGGGAATCCTCTCCACCAAAAGAAAAAGAATATAAAATTGGACATAAGTAAAACATCCATTTCAGGGCTCTTGAAGTTGACTAAAAGCAGACCAAAAAATGAGGAGCATTTATTCTTGATAAATAGCTAGAGATTTACGGAAAAACACCTGCAGCCTTCTGACCTATGGTTGCTTTCAGTCTCCTCCCCACCCCCTATCAGCCAAACTGGCCAGAACTATGATTTCGCCAGTGTGGGAAAACCAGCTGCTTTGCCATCGAGGGGAGAGGCTTCAAATGGGACAAGGGAGGGAAGGGCGTTCATGGCTTTGTCAGTGGCAAACTCAGTAGAAAATGAGTGGGGGAAAACTGCTAGCCTGAGATCAAGGGCCTGGTTTGGGAAGCAGTGGGCAAGCTACAAATTTAACAGGAAGTTCCAGGAATTAAGAGAGCCATCATAGGAATACGATAAGTTTTCCAAATGTCTCTGACTAACTGATAAATTACACATCTGTGTTAGGGAGACACGAAGAAGACCAGGCTGCACCCCAAACCACACAGAGGTCTATCAGCAAAAAATGGAAGACTTACGAGCATGAGGCGGTGGGACATAATCTCTGTTCACATCACTGACTGACCACTAACATATAGACACACACAGGCAAGTCCTAGAAATCCAAAACAACAATAAGTAAAAAGCAATGGCCGAACACAAGAGGAATCAGGTTATGAAGCAAAATTCAGGGTTCCTACTAGATATTAAGGAAATGTTGAGTATTTCAATCAAGCGTTATAAGACATAAGTACACAAAAAAAAAGCATGCAAAGTAACAGAAAAACATGACCTATACTAGAAAGATGATAGATAGATAGATAGATGATAGATAGATGATAGAATAGATAGATATAGATAATGCAGTCAGTCGAAACTGACTCTGAGTGGGCACAGATGTTGGATTTACCAAATATAGATTTCAAAGTGGCTATAATATGTATGTTCAAAGCATTAAAGAAACTGAGTTCAAAGGATTAAACGAAATCATGATAATAATCATTCAACAAATAGGGAATCTCAATGAAGTAAATCTATCTGTGCTGTGTTAGGGTCACTGAGATTTAGAATTGTTTGTTATTGAACCACAACCAAGCCTCTCTTGACTGACAGTATATTCTTTCCAGCAGGGGCCTGAACCAAGGCGAGCCATGAAAAACCTTTCCAACTCTGCACGCTAAGCTTCTCTCATTTCTCCTTAGTTTGGTGTTTTACAACAGAACTCTACCTCACATATAATCGAAAACCCACGGAAGCCCTTAAATATATTCAACAGGCTTTTTGAACCATGTTATAAATATAGCATGAATATCCTAGAAATGTACCATAAATCCCTTCTGCCATGATGGCTATGGAACATCTAGGAGCTCTAGGATAAGACTGAGGTATACAGGCTGTGATATTAGCTCTGTCTCTAGGTGACAAAGTGACCCTCACCAGTCACCTAGATTCCCCAGCCTTACCTTTCTCATTATAGTGGGACGATACCCTGGTTAAACCTGAAAGATGCTAAAGGTCACCATTAGAAACCTTGGGAATCAATAATCTACAAATGCTTAACATCTTTTAAGTACTGGACTTGGTTATCCCCCCTCCTCAGTAAGAGAAGAGGGCGTCTGGGGGAGGAATATTTATATTCCAGACCCTCGGGAGCATCAGAAACTATGAGAACAAATGGGTAAAAGCTTTTATTAAAATTTAAGTTAAATGTACAAATATATGCATGCAATGAAGCATTTAAACGTGAACTACACCGATTGCTATGTTTGCTAACAAAAAGCAAGACACTTACCAAGATTTTCAAGAGCTCGCCACTCCTGCCTGGGACATTCATTCAATGTTGAGTACAAAGTTCCTATGTAAACTTTCCCTGGAATGGAATCTTCATCCTAGAAGCACGTAAAACACTGTATAGTAATTTATTCTACAAAATATATTTACTGTAGAAAATGCACACATTGTAAGTGAGCTGTGTGAATCAGACTCAGTACTACCTAACTCAAGTACCTCCTCTCTTAATTAGAAATATCTGCATTCCTGAGTCAAATTCCTCTCTTCACAGGCCACACAAAATACAGGTGCTTCCTTAAAGCCCATGTTTTGGGCTGAATTATGCCCTCAGATGCTGAAGCCCCAACCCGCGTATCTCGGAATGTGGCTGCATTTGGAGATACGGTCTTTAAAGAGCTAAAATGAGGTCATTACTAATGCAATATGACTGGTGTCCTTCTAAGAAGAGGAGATCGAGACACAGATATGCCCAGAGTGAAGACACAGGAAAAGACACAATCTATATAAGCCAAGAAGAGAGGCCTCAGAGGAAACTACCAGTTTATTCTCAGACTTCTAGCCTCCATAACTGTGAGAAAATAAATTTCTATTGTATAAGCGCCCTGTCTGTGGACTTGGCTATGGCAGCCCTGGCAAACTAATCAACCTGGTTTCTCTGACATCCCCAAATATACTGGTTCTTGGTGCCTCTGCCATCCTCTGGCTGCAACATCCAGGATTCTCAGCTTCCCTGGCTGACACGACAGAGAAAAACGATGCTGGACGGTCTCTCATAGGCAATCAAACTTGTCAACCTAGAAATAACGTGTTAGCTTTGCTCACAGGTCATTGGCCAGTACACACCTGGCCTCACCTACCCGCAAAGAGCTAGGGAAGTGGAACGTTCTCCTGTCCCTGGAAGAAGAGGACAGGAGGAGAAGGTATGGGAAAGTTCCAGAAGCTTCTCCAGAAATGACTCTCCATCTACCTAAACAGTAGACAGAAAATCCAGTTCTGCCGCCGAGCAGCCCATTAGAAAAAACACACATTCTTATACAGTTTTGAAAAACAAAATCCAAAATCTTAACATGAGCTTAAGGTGCTCACCAAAGCCCTGTGCCACCTGAACCTGCCTGCTCCCAGCCTCACCTCTTACCTGTCTTTCCCACATCCTGTGACACTGGATTTCCTCCCTGAGCATACCATGTGCGCTCTGGGCTCTTCTAGCTAATTATGACCCATCACTTGGGTCTCAGCCTAAGTATGCCTTTCGAGTCACCTTCCTAGCTTATGTTTCTCTCTGCCTTGTGCTCCCATAGCACTCTGAATTTTTCTGTTGCAGCATTCCTCATACTTCTAATTGTTCAACTATTTCTAAACATTGGTTTAATGTTTTCCTTCCCTCCTAAAGTATGTTTAAGAACCATGTCTAGCTTTTATCCTGAGAACATAGCACAGTCCCCGGCTCACAATCGCCGCTCAGTAAATATTGACTCACTGTATTAGTTTCCAACTGCTGCTGTAACAAGTGACCACAAACCTAGTTTCTTAGAACAGCACATATTTATTACATCGCAGTTCTTAAGGTCAGAAGTCCAACACAGGCGTCACTGGACTAAAATCCAGGTGCAGTCAGGATTGCATTCCTACTGGAGCCTCTAGGGGAGAGTCCATTTCCTGCCTTTTCCAGCTTGCAGAGGCCGTCCGCATTCCTGGGCTCACAGCCCCTTTCCAGCAATGGCCTCGCTCTGGCTTCTGTTTTCATCATCACACAGCCCTCCCTTGCTCTGACTCTCCTGACTCTCTTTCAAGAATCCTTGTGATTACCTTGGCCCACCTGGACGATAATCCAGGATAATCTCTTCAGCTCCAGGACCCTGACTTAATCACATCTGCAAAGTCCCTTTCACCATACAGGGTCACACATTCACAGGTGTGGGGTATTAGGACACGGACATCTCTGGAGGTGGGGGACTGTTCCTTATTCTGCCTCCCATGCTGATTGCCTCTTTATGCCTCCGCTCTCATGGAGACAAGCCTTACAACCCTGAGACGTGTGAGTTTTTTGTTCCCCATCTAAGGAGGCAGCTCAGTTCTCTGCCAAAGCCTCCACAGAGGAGGGTTCTGGTTATCTGGACAGTACTGATTGGAGGTCCCCAGAAGAATCTTACCAGGGCCTCCACCCATTTCCCTCTCAAGTCCACATACATTGCGCCACTCCATCCTCCTACGGGTGAGAAAATGAAAGTGTGAAAAGGGCAAAGCGCCCCATCTTTGACCTCCATCAAGTTAGAAGGAGCCAGATACAAAACCTCTCACTTTACACCCCAGTGAACAAATACGTGTTGAATGCTTCCCATTATACATGCTGGGGTACAGATGAGGTCCCCAACCATGTATTTACAGGTCCCCCAGGAGACACAGTTCCCACATTCACATGCCTTCCTGCGCTAGACAGAGAGCTCAGACATGTGAGGAAGCCAAGTGTGAGACGGTAAGGAGTGGTGATTATCACATTGGGCTGGAGGGTTGCTGTGCGCCCAAAGACAGTCAGGTTCAAAATTGATATATAGCACTGTGCTGGCCGAAGAAAACACGCCTACCCCTGAGATAGCATCCCCACTCGTCACCCACAGGGTAGCCAGCCACCCCGAAGGTATACAAATTGATGAAATATGTCAGATAGCAATAAGCTTTGCAAGGAAAATAAAACAGGCTTTTGTGATAGTAAATAACTAATGTAGAGAAGGGATGCTTTAGCTCTTCAGGGAAGGCCGCCACACCTCTGGGTCTACACCAAGAATTCCTAGAAACTCAGGTCTCAGATGAGGCATCGCTCTGACCTGTGGTCATGAAATCAAGCAACCCCAAATCCCACTTTGATGAGAAGGGCTATTAGAAAAAGCAGAAAGGTTGTCTCTTCTTTGGAAACTCTTACAAACCAAAAATAGAGTTGAAAGAGTCAGGTTTCAGCAAGTCTGGGCAGGATCTGATGAGGGACAGTTGTCTTAATAGCCAATTGTCCTTTCATGTTTCATAAGTATTCCAGAAACCACAGATGATAGACAGTTTGATCATTTGACGCTTCTGAGGCTTCTCTAGTACCTGACTTTGCTCCTTGTGAGAAAGTTAAGTCTAGCTGTGGTTTTTGTGTTTTTTTTGGTGTTTTGTTTTGTTTTGTTTTAACACATTTCACTTCTTCAGGTAGAAGTGAGTTCACATCCTGTCTTGCAGCTTTTTCCATGGTCCAAGCTGTATGATTTTAATATGTTTTGCACCTATTCTCAGTGAAATGTGGCATTTGTCTGGTGGTGTCTGGTTGCCAGTTGCTTTTGAGAGAGTTATTTCTAGCTTATGGGTCTGGCAATAAATGAACCCCTAAACGGAGTGATGATGACTAGGAATTACCATGAGATATGAGTAGGGATGCCCAGAGATCTCTAAATATGGCTCATAAGATGATGTAGCCTCCAAGGACAAAACTGTGAGCTCTGAGTGACTTTTATTACAAAAATACAAGTAACGCTCAAGCATCAGGACCTTTCAAATTCATAACTTTGCCCAAATGAACCTGTAGCCATGTACCTGAAAAAAATATATATCCCCAAATCTTGCAGGAATGTTTTAGCTATAAACCCTGAGCTAATACTAATTCCTAAGGATCCATAAAACCACTCGAGAATATTCCCGTCTGAGCAGGGACTTATGGGAATCAGGTGACAAACAGAGTTCTACCCCAACGTCACCTCACAATAGTCCCCAGGGAATTCCTTATAGGCTGTAATTATTCCTCCAATTTAAAAGAATAAAATTAGAATGGGTATCATGGCAGAATACCCTCCGTGACCCTGATCTTCAGAATAAGTTATCATTGTAGGAAGAACCCTGAGATGACCTTGGGGCAGCCCTTCCTCCCAAGCCAAACAGAACAAGAACAGCACCTCAGGCAACAAGTGGCAGGAGAAACCATGTCTAATATAGCCCCATTTAATCCCCCATGTTAGCGCATGCCAGAGACCAGTGGGACCTGGAGAATAAGAATGGGTTTCCTTCATTGTAACCCCAACAGCTGATATTACAGCCATGGCTTCTTTCATAGAGTGCCCTTCCTGAATTCCACTACTGAAACAAATTCTGCCACTTACCATTAGCTGAGAAACATCTGTGCTTCCATCCTCTTTATGTAACAAGCATCGCGGAGCGAGTAACTTGTCATGATTTCCAGAAATTCAATTTCATGGTATTTTTCCTTTCACTTACTTCAGACTGCTCTATTTCTGGAAAGCATAGGCTTTTCCCTCATGATCTGCAGCTTTCTGCCTTTTGACATTATAAGCTAGAAACTTCTAAATGATTTCTGAAAACATATCAGGGAGTTTGGTAAAATATTGTAAAGTACTGACCTAAGGCTTCTGTGACTTTAAATATCACTGAAATAGTTGTTTCATGTTGCATTTCAAAGGTCTTGCCAATCAAGATGGCCTCATGCTATTGTTCATTTATACAGAGGGTGCCAAAAACATGTATACACATTTTAAGAAAGGAAAAAACTGTATTAAAATTGCAATACTCAATATATACCGATAATAAAAGATGAATACAAGTCATGTGTATACATGTTTTTGGCACCCCCAGTATTTCAAAGTACACTATAGATCTAATCAAGGCTCACCATTAATGATAAATCCATTTTTTGAAAAATGTTGATAATGTCATATTTTGCAGTCAAACGCTTGTCAGACCTGATTAGCTCGTCCTTATTTTTGTCTTGTAGTTTGGCTCATATGCTAGCTAGAGCTCTCTCCCTGTCATTTTCTTTTTTTTTTTTAAGATTTTTATTGGGGAATTGGGGGAAGGGGAACAGACAAGTTGCTGTCGTTTTGTTGTTCAGTCTAGTTGTGGAGGACGTTGCTTCACTGGCCCAAGTTGGCACCATCATTGCGCTCTTCCCGGGCGAGGCAGATCAGTCGCCGGCTTCTGGACGGCCGCTCAGAGCGGCTGCTGGCCGCTCACGCTGGCTGCTGGCCGCTCACGCTGGCTGCTGGCCACACACGGTAGCCCATGGCAACCCACTGTCACTGGGGCTGCAGCCTACGCCATCGCCGACTCACGGCAGCCCAGCTCCAGGTCGAGCTGTTGTTCAGCATCTTAGCTGTAGAGGGCAGTGTCCCTGGCCCTCATATGTGGGATCCGAACCGGGGCCCTCTGGCATCCCAAGCCAGCTCTTAACCAGCGCTCCACTCGGACGGCCCCTCCCTGTCATTTTCTTATTGCTCACTTGTACTTGCTTTGTTAATATTGTCTTGAAAACCCATGGCT